TTTTTTTTTAGTTTTTGGCCGGGGGATGGGTTTGAACCCACCACCTCTGGCATATGGAGCTGGCGCCTTACTCCTTTGAGCCACAGGCGCCGCCCAGAACCTAGAAGTTTCTGAGCAAAGAAAGGCAGATAGAGATGACTTAATGCAGGGGTCAGATGGGGTCTCAACCGGGCGGCAATGGGGGCAAAAGGAAGGTCTGCGCAGAGTCAGCCAATGAAGAATAGGCAGCATGGCAGGTGAGAAGTTAAGGTTCGTAGAATCTGCAAGAGGTTTTGCCAGGGAGTGTGGAGAGGGCAGAGAAAGGGAAGGTCTTTTGAGCTGTGGAGCCAGCAGCCCCCAAGTGGATGGAAATAGAAACTGGAGGAGGGACCTTGAGCACAGGCCAAGAGATGACTGAACCTCAGGGAGGAAGGAGGGGCAGACCCCAGGGAGTAGCTACCTACAGGGAGGAGGAGGGGAGGCAGTGGGGTACACCAGCCAAAGAGAGGGGAACCCCAAGAGCTGAGCAGGGCACACACCAGGGTACAGGTGGTGAGACAGATGCTGCTGGGAGGGGAGGGCGGGTCTGGATCAGGGACCCTGAAAGACTTGTATCAGTCTGGTGGTGGGGCAGGCGCCAACCCAGGAGAGGCTGAGGTATAAACCAGGAAAGAGGAAGTGCAGACGGAATACACAGAGACGATTCCTTCATACGTGTGGTGGTCAGAGGCAGGCAGCAGGCGTGTGACAAGAAATGCGCTGGAGGGGCTCGGCACCTGTGGCTCAAGTGGCTAAGGGGCCAGCCACATATACACCTAAGGTGGCAGGTTCGAATCCAGCCCGGGCCGGTCAAGCAACAATGACGGCTGCAACCAAAAAAATAGCCAGGCATTGTGGCGGGCGCCTGTGGTCCCAGCTACTTGGGAGGCTGAGGCAGGAGACTCGCTTGAGCCCAGGAAGTGGAGGTTGCTGTGAGCCGTGATGCCACAGCACTCTACCCAGGGGGACAGCTTGAGGCTCTATCTCAAAAAAACCCCAAAACCCAAAATGCGCTGGAGGGAGGGATTTGGGGAGAAACCTGTGACATCTGCGGACGTGAGGAAGAGGCTGCAGACGCAAGAGAGGGGCTAACCAGCGAGACAATGTCCTGGTGCGAACAAAGGATATGGGGGCACAGGAGTACCAAGAGGAGAAGCCATTACCTGCTGGCCCAGGCCCAGGGAAAGAGAGAGTGACAGAGAAGCCACAGTGACTTTCTGATACAGGCAGGGTACCGATGGCCTCCACAGAGATGACAGGCAGTCATGTGCAAATGGGGAGCCTGGGCATGCTACCATAGGACAGTGCCAGAGAATGCTGCAAGACAGACAGGCAGCCCCAAGAGCCACAGTGCAGGCTTGGCAAAGACCAGAGGGCAAGACTCACACGCTTCAGGCTGTGAGCTGTCAGCTACTCCTGAGGCTCAGGGCAAGAGAAGAGTTGCCATGGATAGTCCTAAATGGCTAGAGGTGCCAAGCCAGGTATTGGATCTGTGGGAGGTAACCCAGAGAAGAAGAAAGTGGAGAGTGGAGAGGATAGGAGGAAGCATGCTGGGCAGGTGGCTCTGCAGGACGGGGAGGGCCTGGCTCCAGCTTTTGGTGCTGAACTTAGTATCAGAGGCCTTTGCATATGAGGCCAGCAGTGCACGGCACAGTGTCTCCTGCCAACTTCGGGTATTTCACATCAGGCCTTGGAGGAAGAAAGTAAAAACAAACACCAGTGGAGTATAAAACACCAGTGGAAAGTAAAAAACACTCCCCCCCAGTGGAGGGTCGCTGCGTGACTCTGGGCTGTCACTCCACTTCTCAGTTGCCTCGTTCGGGTGCATGAGGCCCTGTGCAGCAGGGGTATCTTCATGGGTGAAGGCAGGATCAAGCACTAGCAAGCCCTAGCGCAGTGTCTAGCACACTACTCAACAGACAGTGGCTGCGAGTAGGACAGCCACTGTCTTGATGGGAGGGAGGAGATACGCACCCCCCACCACAGCTGTCCTCACCTCACAGCTGAGATGAAGTCTCAAGTAGACCTCCAAGAGGCACAGGGTGGGGAAGACATGCTGGGCAGTGGGACTGTACCTTAATGAGCGTGGGGGTGGCCTTGGCAGTGGGGACCGAGGTTCCGTTGGTGAGGCTGGGAGGTAGCAGAGGCGGGGGAGGCAGAGGGGGGTGCTCTGCCAGGAAGAGCATTTCTCCGGAATCTGGGCCTGTTGGGAGCTGTGACACAACCTGAGAGGACAAGAGAAGAGAGGACCCTGGTTAACTCCAGGTGGAGTGCCCAGCTGCCCCATCAGCCCCTCCTCAGACAGAGAGACCAGGGGATGAGAGGAGCAGACCAGGGTGGCAGAGCAAGAGGGCACTACAACAGCAAAGGAAGAGATGCGGTGGGGGGGGGGGGTGTGCCTAAATTGAAGGCACTTAAGAAAAGCAGCTGGGGCCACACACAGTGGCTCACGCCTGTAATCCCAGCACTCTGGGAGGCCAAGGTGGGCACATCACCGGAGCTCACGAGTCTGAAACCAGCCTGAGCTAGAGCAAGACCCTATCTCTAAAAATAGCCTCGCTTTGTGGCAGGCACCTGTAGTTTCAGCTATTCAGGAGGCTGAGATGAGAATCACTTGAGCCCAAGAGTCTGAGGCTGCTGTGAGCTATGACACCACAGCACTCTACCATGGGTGACAAAGTGAGACTGTCTCAAAAAAAAAAAAGCAGCTGCTTGGAACACATGAGCATGGGGCCAGGTCAGCATCCTCTGCCTAGGGCTGTAGGCTGCTGGAAAGAGGGGCCTGCTGCCCATATCTCCTGCCTTACCCCTGGGTATTTCATATCAGGTCTTGGAGGAAGAAAGTAAAAACACCTGATGCTGAGCGACTGGTGCCCCCAGCCCCTTGTGTCGTGTGAGTTGTCACCCATGCATCCAGTACACAGTCCTTATTCTGGGCAGCCCCAATTACCCTGGAGAGGCATCTGGAAGTGGGCAAGCTCACCTGAGTGGGAGATACGGAAGTGGCACTGGGCAGTGGTTCGCTGACACGGGCCTCCAGGGGTGATGGCACTGAACCCTGGGACTCGTGGCTGGCAGGCTGCTCAGGGGATAAGGCATCGCTGCTGTCCTCATCAAAGGAAGAGCTGTCTGCTACTTTCGGGTAGTTCACCTGGCCCACTGAAACCCAAAGCCACCATGAGGCTCCACTTCTGGCCCCAAGGCACCAGTAGCAACCTTGCTTGTTGGCCAGAGGTTGTCACAGCAAAGTGACTGCCCTCAGCCCCTATTCCCTGAGAGACAGACGGGCAAAGGAAGGCTAATAACCAGCCTGCTTTCTTGGTTCAAACAGCTCTGGAAAAGGTCATCAACACAACCCTGTACCACAGGACAGAAAGGCCCCATAGGCTATCAGAGTGCTTCCTTGGGCTGAGAAAAGACCTCATTTTTCCCCTATACTGTGTTAAGCCTTCAAGTTCCTTCCTCCCTGCCTCCTGCCTGTTCCTCCTGGGAGACCAGACAGTCTCTCCACTTCACCTGTTCCCTGCTATTAGAGGTACTTTGTCTCTACTCTGTGCCTATACAAAACTCTCCTTTCTCCTGGTGCTTACAGATGCTCAGGGACCAGGTGAGAAAGGGTGACGGCCATGTGAGTCTGACTTCCCCAGAGGCCAGGATCAGGCCAAGGAGCCTGGCTCTGAGGCTGCAGACAGGGGCATCCCAGGAAGGGGACACTGGTCCCTACAGCTGAAAGAGAATCAGTGGAAATGTGGTGACCTCCTTTATAGGCCAACGACTCCCAGAGACCCAACACCTGGGTAGCAGAGGCAACAGAAGGAAACATCCTGCTGCCCGTGGATGCCCTGGCCTGACCCACAGCCACCCCCCAGGACGGCCATGTTAGCATGTCCTCCTGGGGCTGGTTGGGGTCAGAGGCAGCTCAGGGCTTTTCCACAGAGTCCCAACATGGGACTCTCTGGCCACAAAGGGGAGAAAAGACAGGAACAGAGGCCAGGAGGGATTTCAAGAGCCAGGTTACAACCACCACCTCAGCCCATACTGTCACAGAAAGAGGTGGGTGGTGGGCTCTGAGCTGGCCTGCTATCCACACAGGAGGAGCTGAGGCAGTGGCGAATGCAGAGATGAGCATCCTACCAAGCCTGGAGAGGTGCACCATGTGGGAAGTCCCCAGATTAGAAAGAAGAACAAAGTGTGATGTCTCAGGCTGGGTTTCTCTAGGCGGTAACCCTCCTAGCAGCCTCTTTCTCTTCAGAACCAGGACATGAGGCTCTCTCTTCCCTTGGGACCCGGAAGGGCACACCTGAGCTCCTCCCTCACTGGGCAACTGTGGTGACAGCCAGGAGTGTCCACGGGTGAGCTCACTCCTCTGTCCCCGCAACTGTCCTTAAAGGGGTGAGTATGCAATGCACAGAGGGTCTGGCCATGCATCCTTCATGCCAATCCCACACCTGATTTTTCACCAGCCTCTAACTCCCAGCAAGGGCACCTGCTGTGGGACAGCAACTGCATGGTGCCCGGCACTGATTGTAGCTCCCATCCCAACGAGTCCAACCCAAGGATGTGGCTGGCCGCGCTGGGGAAGACATAGGGCAGGTGTGGACCAGCGTCATCACAGAGTCTACTTATCTCTCCAATGATACCAGTGCTGCTGAGTAGGAAGGCCATGGCCCTGAGATGCCACAGTTGAGTCACAAGCCTTGTGGGACTGTCTGCAGATCACATGTAATGATAAAGGTCCCAGCAGGGTCCTCAGCAGGGTTCCTGCTCTCTAGGAGCTCCTGGTTCAGTCCCCTTGAAGCAGAGTAAATGCTCTGCTAGAGGGAAACACACACACTCAGGGCATGCGGAGGAGAGATGCAACAAGACTACCTGGACAAGAGGGCTAGACATAGATCTTGAGGACAACTATGAGTAGCCTGGAGGAAAGGGGCGGGTGTGTGTGCTACTGCATGGAAGTGGGCTTGAGAGTGTGGGGAGACTCCATAGCCCCTGCCAGCCCCCTTCTCAGCAGGCCTCGGGGGGACCTTCTCCCTATCCTCCTGCTGCCCGCTTCTACCCAGTCTCCTTCTCCTCCTGTCTGGGCCAAATCTCCTGGCACTGTCAGTACCAGATGCCTCAACTGAGTTGTGCTCTACCAGGTCACAGCCATGCTGCTTCCTCTGCTGGAATGTCCCTCTGTATTTCTCCATTTAGCAAACACTGATCCAACCACAAGGGTGCCCCCAAATATGCTGTATCATGTGTGGGCACTTTCTTGGCCACCACCACCTGTCCCCATCCCTAACAGCAGTCCCCATGCCGGGCTCTCCCCCACTGACAGGCACACATCCCATTATAATGTCCAGGAAAGCAGTTGTCAACTGGTCTGGAAGAAGCGTTACTGCTGAAAAAACAGCAGCAGCAACCATTACACAAGCCTCTAGGCACATATCCATCGCTGCATGTGATCCTACAAACGGTCCCACAAGGCAGGCAACTCAGCTGCAGTGTCACAGAGACATGGCCTTCCTACTCAGCACTGGCATCTGATTGGGACCCAGACTCAGAAATCATTTATTCATACATCAGTCTTCTCACATCAGACTGAGTGAATTCCTTGAGGGCACAAGTCCTATTTCATTCATCTTTGTGACTCTAGGAATTCACATAGGGCCTGGCACAATGCCAGCTCTTAGCAAATTTTTATCAGATTGTGGCTGGCTGCAGAGTCCAGGACTTCTCTGGTCTGTACGCTGGCCCGTAGCTGGGGGCTGCTGAGGAATATAAGGAGAGAAACACTGAGATAAGGCAGGATGATTGCCACCGAAACTGTAAGGGCCACACACTGAAATGGGAAAGGGTATTGAGGGCCCAGGGTGTGCCAGCTTCCGGCAGGGTGGCTGCAATGCAGATGTGGCCCTAGAAACCACCAGTCTCCTTTGATCCGGGCAGTCCTATGGGGCTGAGCCTTTAGCCTGTGGGATCTGACTCTGTCTCTAGGTAAACAGTATCAGAATTGAATTGGGAACATTCAGTTGGTGTCCACTGGAGGACACCTTGAAATAGGGGACAATACCAAGCCAGAACATCAGTGCCAAAACCGCTGAGCACCCATACTGAGTGGGGGAGTGGAGAAAAAACAGGGTTTTTATCCCCTGCCCCTTTTTTTTTTTAAGAGACAGAGTCTCACTTTGTCGCCCTCAGTAGAGTGCCATGTCATCATCACTCACAGCAACCTCCAGCTCTTGGGCTTAGGAGATTCTCTTGTCTCACTCAGCCTCCCGAGTAGCTGGGACTACAGGCGCCCACCACAACGCCCGGCTATTTTTTATTGCAGTTTGGCTGTGGCCAGGTTTGAACCCGCCACCCTCAGTATATGGGGCCAGCGCCCTACTCACTGAGCCACAGGTGCCACCCTTTATTCCCTTTCTGAGCATGGCACCAGAGGCCCTGCACATCCTGGGCTGTTCACCTCCCCCACTCTTGACACATCCTTTCCATAGCCTTCTCTCCAAGTTCCAGGCTGCTCTCCTGTCCCCCCCACCCCCACCCCACTAACGTATTTTGGCTGATTCCTACTTGTCCTTCAGCCCTAGGCCTCACCATCAGCTCTTCTGCTGAGGCTGGGGCCCCTCTAATACCCAGAGGAGAACATGGGTGTTCTCTCTAGCACAGCTGCTGCTGTCTTGCTGCTTTCTATCCACCTGCCTATTTCGGCTCCTCCATGTGAGCTCCCTGAGACAGAACAAACCCCCCCCCCCCCGTGGGGCTGTGGTCCCAGCACACAGCACACACCTTGGGTCCATCAATTGGTTGAGTGAAATTATCGATGGAATAGGCCAAGCTCCAAGAAAGAGTTTCACTAACCAAAAGGTACCTATTTCTAATTCCTGGCATCTCTGCGTGTTCACACATACTGAGTCTGATGTCTCCCTAACCTGTGAAAGAGGAACAAGTCCCTGAATGTACAAAGATGGAAAGTAAACAGAGACTCCTATTTATTCGGCTATTTGCTATTGTATGTTCCTGAACCCTGAGGCAGCTGGCACTGTCCCAAGCTCACACAACCTGTCATCAGGCCTTCAACTCTGTGTCTTAGTTCTCCCAAGGTTAGGCAGGAAGTCTAAGAGCAAGAAGCCAAGAGCCCCAGCCCAGCCCTTCTGTGGTTACAGTGTTCCCTCCCTCCTGCACCTGTCTAGGGCCCACACAGAGCACTGAGCCTCCTCACCAATGATGGCTTCCTTCAGGCTGGACTCCACAGGCAGGATGTTCTTCTCCACCAGCTCCATGGGGCCAGGCCTCTGTGCAATCTTCTCGTTGAGGTCATCGGCTAGCCTGGCTCTCTTGAGCTTCAGCTGCTTGGCCTGGAGGGAAGGCTCAGCCGAGGTTTCTGTCCATGGGAGATAATGGGGTGCAGGAGGACATATGAGTGAGCCTGGTTCATTATCCTTCCTTGTGGGCAGGAGCAGAGACCATCAGAATGGAAAGCACGTCCCTGACAGAGAAGGGGATGCCTAGCGTGAAGCCTCATAAGAACAAAAGAAGAGGCTCCTGCTATGGGTGGCACAGTCGCATGTGACTGTGACCAAGCACAGGTTGGCTCAGAGGACTTTCTGAGGTACAGCTGCAGAGCTACAGACAATGGAATGGTCTCTGCTCTCCCGCAGACTTTCGTGGTAAGTGGGGTAATTCACCTCTCTGCTCTGGGTCTCAGTGTCTATCTGCAAACTGTGGAGTTGGAACTGGAAAAGTTTTTTCAACCATGAAGACGCCTCAAAACTTAGCTCGGCAGGCCAGGTGCGGTGGCTCATACCTATAATCCTAGCACTCTGGGAGGCCAAGGCAGGTGACTGCCTGTGCTCACAGGTTCAAGACCAGCCTGAGCCAGAGCAAGACCTTGTCTCTAAAAAATAGCCAGCATTGTGGCAGGCGCCTGAAGTCCCAGCTACTTGGGAGGCTGAGGCAAAAGAATCACTTAAGCTCAAGAGTTTGAGGTTGCTGTGAGCTGTGATGTCACAGCACTCTCCAGAGGGCGACATAGTGAGACTTTGTCTCAAAAAAAAAAAGTACAAGTTGGATCTATCAGGTGTAGAACACAAATGTCTTAATCCTGTAATTGGGTAAATGAGGTGAAGGTTATGTTGATTAGTAGGATGTAAGCACTCCAATTTGTACAAATATTCAACACATTGAATCCCATATTGACATTAATGTATTTATGATCTATGTACAAAATGACTTAATAAAAATAAATAAATTTAAAAAACCTTAGCCAGGCATTCTGATAGGCACCTATAGTCCTAGCTACTCAGGATGCTGAAGCAACAGGTCACTTGAACCCAGGAGTTTGAGGTTGCTGTGAGCTAGACTAACACTATGGCACTGTAGACTAGGCAAGAAAGTAAAACTCTATCTTATGGAGATAAAAATGTGGAAAGAAGTGTGTGGCTGTGGCAGGTGGGGTACATTTAAATGCTCTTAGATGAAGAGGGTACTGTAGGTCTCTTTAAATTAATAACAGGTGCTCTTTAAATAAATCTCAAGTGAATGAATAAATGAATGAATATAAAGAAAAGAAAATTAATGCATTTTAAAAACAGATTTTAGAGAAGAGAAGGGATCTGCCTTGGCAGAGAGAAGCAATTTCATACCAAAGTATGGTGAGACCCAGAACAAGTCAAGCCAACCCAGGAGATTATGCTTCTTAGAAACTGCCCCAAACCAACAGTGGCCACCAAAACATAGCTATCTTATGTGTCAGGACTCTAGCTCACTCACTGCCAATAGCAGTGGGAGTGAGAAAAGAGACAAGGAAGGAAGTGGGTGCAGCGGTGAGCACACGGTAAGAAAGGGTTTATATGTAGAAGCATTTCCAATCTCACACACCTTCCAAAATATGCATCCTGACCAGCTCCGATCTCTCAGGCCGTGAACGAATCTTCCGTTTCAAATAGTCCTCTGTCTATAGAAAAAAACACACCAAGAAATTTTCAAGTCTAGGATATAATCTTATAGAATGGCCAGGCCCACAAAACAGCCTTGGCCATAGTGGCTGCTGCTGATTACCTCTGTGACCTTGATTTGGCAACGGCAGGGTTCTGTGGCCAGAGAAGGCCATATCAACTTCTAACTGTACCTACCAAGGGCACCATCCTTAAACACTATTTGTCTCGGCTGGGCGCGGTGGCTCATGCCTATAATCCCAGCTCTCTGAGAGGCTGAGGCAGGTGGATTGCCTGAGCTCAAGAGTTCAAAACCAGCCTGAGCTACAGCAAGACCTCATCTCTAAAAACATAGCCAGGTGTTGAGGTGGGCGCCTGTAGTTCCAGCTGTTTGGGAGGCTGAGGCAAGAAGATCTCTCAAGCCTAAGAGTTTGAGGTTGCTGTGAGCTATGACACCATAGCACCCTACCAGGAGTGACAAACCGAGACTCTATCTCAAAAAAAAAAAAAAAAAAGACCATTTGTCTCTCTGAAAGTGCACTACTAATAATCTATTAAAAAACTATTACATTGGTTCGGCGCCTATGGCTCAAGTGGCTAAGGCACCAGCCACAGACACCTGAGCTGGTAGGTTTGAATCCAACCCAGGCCTGCCAAACAACAATGACGGCTGCAACAACAACAACAAAAAAAATAGCTGGGTGTTATGGTGGGCACCTGTCGTCCCAGCTACTTAGGAGGCGGAGGCAGGAGAATCACTTGAGCCCAGGAGTTGGAGGTTGCAGTGAGCTATGATGCCACAGTACTCTACCCAAGGTGACAGTTTGAGGCTCTGTCTCAACAGCATTAAAAAAAAAAAAATACGAGATACACAATCTGACATTTTTTCTAAAGAAGGTGGCTTTCCCTATATTCTTATTGTTCTTTATTAAAAATACTACTGAATTAAAGAGCAATAATGATGGAGTAAATTAAAATATTTATGTGCAGATTCTTCGCTTTTCTCA